AAATTAATCTCAGATTTAATAAAATCTGAAATTAACAATTCAGTTTTGGGTAAAAATAGAGGTTTCCTAACTTAAGCATTTAATTGGATTGAATTTGAATTTGAATTTCAAATCCAACCAATTTATTTGATGGCTTAAATTAAGGAGGTGGTTTAGGCAACATTAAATGTTAACTAAACCCAACGTTCAGAATTTGAAAACTGAAAAAAAGAAGAGGAAAAAAAAGGGGCGGCGACAGGGGGGGAAGGGCCGGTGGGCGGGAGTGGCCGGCGGCTGCTGAGTGGGGTTTTGGGCCGGCGGGAGGGAGGCCTGGCTGGGGCCGACGGGAGGGGATTTTGCTGGGTCGGGATGGCTAGTGAGGCCAGCGGCCTGACTGGGACGGGAAGGCCAGTGAGGCCGGCTGCTGTTGCTGGCCCAGGGAGGCGGCACAAGGTGGAGGAGAAGGGAAATTTGTACAAAGTCTGAGAATTTCTTCCAACGATTTCCTCGCCTCGAATTTCTGCTCTTCTTCTCCTTCACACTACAAGCACGAATTAAATCTAGAACTCACGGAGAGATCTAGTTCTCCCTTTGAACTCACTAAGAGATCAAAGGGAAATGCACTCACAAAGAGAACAAAAGGGGATAATTTTCATTTCATCAAAAACTGCCATTACAATGCATGAGGCCTCATATAAATAGGCCAAAATGAGAAAATAAGAAATGACACAAATGCCCTTCCGGGCTACATAATGTCCATAAGGGCAAAAACGGAAAAATATCAAAATAAAATACGCTACTACATAAAAATGACAAAATACAAGTCATGCTCATGGCCGTCGATCTCCGGCGTCGAAAATGCTGACGATGTCCTCATCAGAAATATAGGAGAAGAGGAATAAGGGGTTGTGTTTTAGCTGTGATGAGAAGTGCATGCCGGGGCATAGGTGTAGGGACCGAACTCTTCAGGTTATCACCGTATGTGATAACGAGGAAACTGAAGAGGGAGTTGAGAGCGGGATAGTGGAGGAGGAAGAAGAGAAGTTACATATGGACGTCGCAGAAGTCCCTCTAAACTCTATGGGGGGATTTACCCTAAATCACACCATGATAATTAGGGGAGAAAAAACGGATCGTGAGGTAGTGGTGCTGATCAATAATGGGGGCACCCATAATTTCATCTCTAACCAGATCATAATTTTATTGGGGGTGAAATTAGTGGGCACGGGAGGATATAAAGTGATGATGGGTACGAGGAAGGTGGAGATGGGTAGAGGAGTATGCATGGGAGTGGTGTTGACCATTCAAGGGATACAAGTGAGGGAGGATTTTCTTCCCTTGGAGTTGGGAAGTACCGATATCATCCTGGGGATGAAATGACTGCAGACCTTGGGGGAGACCAAGGTCAATTGGGGTGCTCTGAGAATGAAACTAATGGTGAGAGGAAAGAGGATGGTGATTCGGGGTGACGCAGGGCTGTCCAGGGCATGAGTATTTCTCAAATCCATGATCAAATCCATACAGGAGGTGGGTATTTGGTGGAGCTGCAACGCTTGGAGAGGGTTAGTGTGGGGGAAGAGGGAGACATTCCCATGGCGGTACAACGCCTCATACAGTAGTACAGTGAGGTGTTCCAACCACCTCAGGGCTTACCACCACCCAGAGAACAGGAGCACGCAATCCTTCGGAAGGACGGTGTGTCACCAATTTGTGTTCGGCCTTATCGCTACCCTCAAATTCAAAAAGATGAGATTGAGAAACTGATTAGGGAGATGTTGGAGGCAGGGATCGTTAGACCGAGTGTGAGTTATTTCTCTAGTCCAATCTTACTTGTCAAAAAGAAGGATGGGAGCTGGAGGTTTTGCATGGATTACAGGGCATTGAATAAGGAGACGATACCATATAAATTTTCCATTATGGTGATTGATGAGTTATTAGATGAGTTGCATGGAGCCGTAGTGTTTTCTAAGATGAACTTGAAGTTGGGCTACTATCAAATCAAGATGAAGGATATTTAGAAGACGGCCTTCAAGACGTAGGAGGGGCACTACGAGTTCTTGGTGATGCCATTTGGGCTCACTAACGCCCCTGCTACTTTCCAGTCTTCGATGAATAGGGTGTTCCGGTAGTATCTCAGGAAATTTGTGCTGATATCTTTTTATGATATTCTCCTGTACAACAAAATAGAGGAGCATCTGGAGCACTTGAAGGAGGTTCTTAAAATTTTACAGGCACATCAGCTTAGGGCCAACCTAAAGAAGTGCAGCTTCGTCCAGTCTAGTGTGGAGTATTTGAGACATGTAGTGTCCCAGGAAGGAGTGGTAGCCGATGAAACAAAAATTGAGGCAATGCAGAAATGGCCTATGCTTAGGAACATAAGAGAGTTGAGGGGTTTTCTAGAATTGACTGGGTACTACAGGAGATTTGTGAGGGGGTACAATACTATAGCATGGCTCTTGACCGAGCAATTGAAGAATGACAACTTTTTGTGGGGAGAGACAGCAACCCAGGCTTTTGAGCGATTGAAGAAAGCCATGACGACAATTCCACTGTTAGCTATTCTGGACTTTAACTAGATATTTGTAGTGGAGACCGATGCATCAGGATATGGGTTGGGGGAAGTGCTTATGCAGAATCATAGACCAAGTGCTATCAACCCGGGCGAGATTGAAGTCAGTATGTGAGAGGGAGTTGATGACTATTATCTTGGCTATTCAGAAGTGGCGCCCTTACCTGTTGGGTAGGCATTTCATTGTCCGGACGGATCAAAGGAGCTTGAAGTATCTTTTGGGCTACGATTTTGAGATAAAGTACAAGCTTGGTGTGGAAAATAAGGCGGTTGATGTCTTATCCAGATGGTTGGGGGAACTTCATGAGCTATCTGTTTCAGCGCCACTGATGGTAGATTGGGATCCATCAAGGATGAAAGTGTGTAGAACGAAGAGTTGAAAAAGATCATAGAGGATTTGATGAGAGATAATGGTAGCCATTCTGGTTACTATATGGAGGGAGGGAGGCTGTTGTATCAAGGGAGGTTTGTAGGGCCACGAACATCCATACATATTCCTCACTTGGTACAGGAGTTCCACCGCAGTGCAGTGGGAGAACATTCAGGAGTACATAAGACCTATAGAAGGTTGGCATCTAAGTTTTACTAGAAGGGAATGTATAAAGATGTTGAGGAGATGGTGGCGAGGTGCGAAATGTGCCAAAGAAACAAATACATGGCAATGACTCCAAGAGGACTACTACAGCCCTTGGCACTTCCCAACAGAATATGGGAGGAAGTGTCCATGGACTTCATAGATGGCCTACCATGATCAGAATGATTCACAGTCATAATGGTGGTGTTGGATAAACTTAGTAAGTATGCACATTTCATTCTCTTATGGCATCCCTATACCATAGTGACAGTGGCAACAATATTCATCAGTGAGGTGGTTCCACTGCATGGGATTCTTGAGCTGATTTTGTCTGATCGAGACAAAGTTTTTCTCAATCAGTTTTGGAGGAAGCTGTTCAGATTGCAAGGCACTGTTCTTAAGAGAAGCACCGCCTATTGTCCGCAAACAGAAGGTCAAACAGAGGTTGTGAACCGAAGCTTAAAGACTTATTTGAAGTGTTTTGTTTCTGAAAAGCCACGGTTGTGGGCTAAATAGCTAGCATGGGCTGAGTATTGGTACTATACTTCATACCATTCTTTATCTCAGATGACCCCTTTTAAAATACTGTATGGAAGAGACCCCCCACACTTAGTGCATTTTGGGAGAGGGAACACCCCAATTTATTCAGTTTAGCAATACCTAGAGGAAATGGACAAGGTGTTGGAGGAATTGAAGAAACACCTGTCCAGGACATAACAAATCATGAAGAAGCAGTTATATAGACATAAGAGGGACATACAATTTGAGGTGGGGGAGAAATTATTCTTGAAACTAAGGCTCTACAGGCAGGGATAAGTCTCCAACAGGAGAAATGAGAAATTGGCTCCGAGGTACTTTGGCCCCTATGAGATTTTGGATAAGATCGGAGTGGTTGCGTATCGTTTGAAGTTGCCCCCATCCGCCACCATACTTCCAGTTTTTCATGTATCACAGTTGAGAAGAGCTCTAGAGGAGCATGCAATTTGTGCAGAGTTGCCAATCACATTGACTGAGGACTTTAAAGTGATTCTAGAACCACTGGAGTTGAGGGGAGTCCGATTGGACAAAAAGGGAAACAAAGAAGTGTTGATCAAATGGAGGGACCTTCTCGATTTCGATGTCACTTGGGAGCCATATGAGAGAGTGAGACTCCAGTTTCCTTCTTTTCACCTTGAGGACAAGGTGATTCTTTGAGAGAGGAGAATGTTAGGCCGGCTGAACCGGTCCAACCTGGACTAGTTCATGTGTACTACCGCCGGCCTAGGGGGAGGGCGGAACCAAGGGAGAGGGGGGCGGTTGGCCTAGTGGGTCCAAGCAATTAATGTAATGAGTTTTTAGAAGGGAAATTTGAATTAGGGGGGCTGCTTAGGGATTTTGTATGTCTCCTTTTGCTTTAATTATGTTCTAGGGATAGAATGGGGGTTTCATCTTGAATTTGAAAAGCAATTTGAGATCTAGGGTTTGTGTTCTTGGACTCTAAATTTGGCTAGAGATTTGGAGAGTTGTTTCTTCCTCTTGAATTGAAGAAACTTGTACCGTTGTTGTTTTCTTTCATCTATTAGTGGATTTTCCCATTGTTTCTCTCAGTTTTCCCTATTTTCCTAAGAAAATCTGCTGTCAACTGCTGTTTGACTGCTATAAAAAATAATTATTTTCACTATTTTTCACCCAATCTTGCGTAGGTTTGCTTGCGAACTCAAGTATTACCCGTGGGGTTACTTGCGAACTCAAGTACTTCCTATAGCATAGTAGGACATGACAACAAATACCTCATAAGCCTGACGTAAACCATCATATACATGCTTAGGTCACTTGAAAGGGATTGCAGATCACATCTCCAAGGAAAAATGATTTGTAGAACATGTCTTCCTACTAATTTTGTTAGGATTGTTTTTGTGTAGGATTTTGTAGATCCCATCTTATATGGATATTCAAAGTCAAAGAAATTGGATGTATGATCAACTGTTGTCTAGACGAAATACATTAACAGATACATTCATCATGGGAATCAATTTTTTCATCCAGGTACCTGTCAACTACCTTCTTTTATATATGATGGGAGGTTTCGTTATCTTTGTTCAAAAAAAAACAAAATCAAGCGTATCTTACACCAGATGGGGTTACCATTTATTTATATCGCAGAGAATTCATGTCAGGATATTAATTTTAGACTTACATGACGAGTTTGAGCCATACTTCGACTCTCAATGTTGTCCATCATCAAGTTCCAAGATAGTTAAGAAAAAAATTATTAAGACGTACAAAGATATGATTTATGACGCAATTGGCCCACAATTTTGTGAATATACAAACGAGTTACCAAATAGGAAAGCACAATACTTCTATGAATTATTACGTGCTATTCAACAACCAATTTGGGATGGATGCACTACTCACTCCGAATTATCAGTCATTATAAAAATGATGAGTAAAGATTGAATACAATGTTCCTCAAGAGTGTTTTAACCAATTTGTTAGGCTACTTTAGGAGACCAATACTATAGATAATATTATTCCTGCAGATTTATATAAGACTAAAAAGTTAGTTTCTAAATTGAGTTTAACTATTATAAAAATTGATTATTATGTAAATGGCTGCATGTTGTATTATAAGGATGATTTATCAGAGATAACATGTCGTCATTGCAATGCATCACAATTTAAACCAAAATTTGGAAAACATAGAAAGCAAAACGATGTTCCAATTAGTCGATTAATTTACTTGACCATTATTGCAGCGTCTATATGCTTCAATGAGTTTCGCTGCACACATGAGATGACATAACAAACATATCTCTCAAGCAGGTGTTTTAACTTATCCATTAGAAGCTAAGGGATGAAAGCATTTTGATTGAACTCATCATACTTTTGTCGCTATATCAAGAAATGTAAGATTAAGACCATGTGCAGATAGTTTTACTCATTTCAACCAAACAATATCACCTTACTTAGGGGTGTCAAAATTTGACACCACTTGAAAACTCGACCCGGACTTGACCTCAAAATTCCAGGTTCAGGTCGACCTGGTTAGCACACAGGTCGGGTTCGAATATCTAACCTGATTTTAGTTTCAGGTTGTGTTTGGGTCAACCTGAAAACCCGATATTGACCCAACTTGACTCGATTTCTTCGTTAATATTACAGACTTAGACTTCACGTGTTTCGTCTTGCGGCTTTCAGTTTCTTTATTTTGTTCCATGCCCTTGCCCTCGTTCCTGTTTGCGTTAAACGTTATTCATTTTTGAGTGCATTTGCACGCTCGATTCCTCAAGAAATTAAGCTTTGATTGCAGGCGATGAATTTAAGTCTCCTCTTCTCCCCTCGTACCATAGTTCCATCGTCCCGAACCATCATGGCCCATAGTCTACTTAGTCATAGGAGGTAATTGACCCAACGTGATAGAATGATCCTTATCGACAGTCATGGGTTGCTTTGTCTAAGGGTACCTTATAGACCTGGGAAGAATATTTGTCTAAATGGACAAAATTGAATCCACCTTAGCTAACAGAGAGTTTTTTGCCCTATCGATTCATGGATTTGATGCCATTGGGAAACATATGGGTTGTGACTGTAACCGTAATAGAGTGGAGTCGTTCAACTGAGCCACTAGGTCAGAGAGTCGCGGTCGTAATCATTTACCACGCTGAGCCATCTGGCCAAACCATAGGTTATTTGCAGAGCCATCTAGCCAGACCGCCAATCATAGGACCAATGTCACGTCCTTATTGGCAAAAGACGGATCGAGAATGAATCATAGTGATATTCTTGACTAGACATTTGTTCTTTGTGAGCCAAAGTATTTTCAAACTTGTCATCAGTAAATTATTGCGGAGGATAGATGAATTTTACTTTAAGCATTTTGGTGATTGATTTCAATTTTAAATATTTTAAATTTTAGTATTTTTATAGTTTTGGATTCCATGGGCACTTAGGAGGCATTCTGAATGTTTGGGAACCCATCTGATTGAGATTTCTTTCAATACGGCCTTCATCGAGGTATTTATGGGTAGTTTTTACTTTGTTGATTGAACCTTGTCAACTCTGTCAATTTGCCAATAGAGGATCAGGTTCGTTGTGGGCCTCAGGCTTTTATTAATGAATTTTTTTTTGTTATGGGCCTTTAAGGCATAATATGAATGTATAAAATAAATGTCTAGATCGACACTGTGATTGTATGATGAGGACATCGTCAGAGATTTCGACACATGTACCATTAGGAGATGCCGGAGATCGACGGCCACGATCATGAGTTTTATTTTGAGTCATTTTATGTTGTAGTTTATTTGATTTTTATGTGTTTCCGTTTTTGCCCTTATGGGTATTTAGTCGCTATTGTAGCCCAAGGGGCATTTTAGTCTTTTGTTTTCTTTGTCATTTGGTGGTCTATATATATGGCTCTTTTCTCATGTAATAGTAGTTTTGATAAATGAAAA